AATGTCATCTTCGGCCAATATTCGGCTTCGGGTAAAATTGAACAGAAGGTTTAGCCGAAGCCGAATATTTAACCCAAATTTACAAGTAGCAATAAAGTACAACCTACAGCTGCCCCCCTGACCCCCTTGGCGACGCCCATGCATATAGCCAAAATATTATCAGATAAAGTAAAATTTGTTAAAACAGGTTTACATGAAATATTTGTATGGATTTATATTGATTTTATCAGATAAAGTACTTGAAATATGAACAAAAAATCAAGGCAGATACTTACCTAATTTAAAACATCTTTACATTAATTAATATAAATATATTTAATGAAACGTAAATTATATGACACTGCGTTTATAAAGCTTAATTTATATTTTTATATTTTACAAATTAAAAATTAAGAAAATACAACAAATTTCTTCAGTAACCAAACGTTTTTTTTACATAACGTCAGGCCTTCTAACCTAACAGTAAAAACACTTATTTTATTTTTTTAAATCCTTTTTAAATTTTTCCAATATTTCTCGGGCGATCCTAACAATAAATAACTAATACATTACATCTATAGATTTCTTAAAAAGAAGAAAGGATACTGAAACAAATAAACAAGGATTCTGAAGGGAAAAAGTATTAGGTACTTTTAGATGACGTGACGAGTTTTATTTAGAAAAAATACCTTTTGGGTTAAAACCAGGGTTGGAAAAAATCTTTTTTTTTTTAAATAAAACCCAATCCATTGGGCTTTTTTAGGTTTTATAAGTGGGTTTTATTGGGTGTTTTAATTCTATACACATTTTAGTAAAAATATAACATTTAAAAAGAAATACTGTCGATAAGAAAATTTCAAATATATTCAGCACCTTATAAAATGCATTATTGGGGAACCCCCGAACCTTAAAATTACGTTTTTTTTGTTTGATTTTTATCAGTTTTAGAGTGTACTGCTTTTGATTAAATACTAGTTTTTTACATACATAAAAATGGTATATTTGATCTTTTTACAAATATAAAAAATATACAAAAATATCGAAAAGTTAAAGTTTAAGAAAAAAAACACTTTTAAAAATCTTCCGGGCTTTTTTTAATTGGGTTTTACCCAAAAACCCCAATGGGTTTTAAGGTTACCCACTGGGCAGCCAACTCTGGTTAAAATTATTGCCGCCAATCATAACAAAAATGACCTCTTCACGTAGAAACTGCCATACACCAAAACATAAACATAAATAAAATTCAAAATTTATATAAAAATAAATAATTATTTATTTATTATTTATTAATCAATCCAATTACAAAAAAATTTACATTGCCAAGAATTTAGGGTAAGCACCTAGCTCAAGAGGTTTGATTTAAAAATTTAGTTTTAGCTCATTGACTGATTGCTAAATATTTATATTTTTACATTACGAACCAAGATTACAATATAGTGTTATCAGTTATTATTAATTAAATTTTATATATCGCATGTATTGATCCAATCTATAGGTACCTCGGAACATAGTTGGATTTAAAGTTATTATGAAACCACATCTATTGGTTTTTTGGTATTTACTAAACACAGTTCTAGGTAAGTTTTTCTTATAATATACATAGCAAACTTTTGATTGATTGTTACTTATCGTCGTTTAGCCGCGAATATGTCCTATGTAAAAAGTTAGTCAGAAATTCAACCTATAAAAATTATAACTTATTTTTTTACCTTACGGCAATTTTAAAAATTTTTCTTTCTTAGTGTAAAATCTTTTTCCCATATTTTATTACTTTTATTTATTTAAACCCTGTTTTTTCTTTCCGGGTATAATAAAATTTGGTATTTGTAAAATTGCCTTGGCACGTTGTACCTAATCATATTTTTTTTCAAGTATACAGGGTGTCCCACAATTAGTGCGACAAAATGAAGGTGTATTATCTAAAGACCCCCCGGAATTCCAGAAAATTGTTTAAAAAATTCTTTCTTCATTATTTAATAAGATACAGGGGAGTCATATTTTCTTTATAGGGCAACATTGCCTCATAACAAAGTAATAGTTTAATTCTTAATCATCATGACAACAAACAACAATGTTAGAAAATGCCAAATTTTAATGTCAAAATTTGATACTTTAAGTTATAGGTTATTTATTTTACGTCAGACAGGGACTCCCTGTATTTTTTTCTATCCAGTCTGACGTAAAATAAATAACCTATAACTTAAAGTAACAAATTTTGACATTTAAATTTTGCATTTTCTAACATTGTTGTTTGTTGTCATGATGATTAAGAATTAAACTATTACTTTGTTATGAGGCAGGGCCGGATTTAGGACAGGGCCAGCGGGGCCACGGCCCCAGGGCCCCCACCATTTAGGGGCCCCCACCAATGCAATATATAGCTTTTTAATGAAACGAATATGAAAAAAAATATCGAAAAAATAAAAAATTGGGTCGGTTATACCGCGCGAATTCTGTAATTTTCAATTAATTTTTCGTAGATCTAACTATCACACTCAAAGTTTTGGCGCGCGAAGACGTTTTTATGTAGTCTATAGTCATAAGTTATGACTCAAAACAACTGCTCCTTTAGTGCTTTTCGTAACGTTTTTGTAAATACAGGCAAACAGTCAATTACTTATAATCTAATATTAAAGTTAGTTTTTGTCCCAGATTTTTATTGGTACATTGGAGTGTTATGGAATATTTTCCAGTGTTTCCGAAATAATGTTTCGTTCTTTTCTTTGGACAAAACATTGTTTTATTATTGATGATTTTGTATGAAAAACAGACAAATAATACCACTTTTGATGCACTTTTTTTCAGTTTGCGGTAAGTATTAAAAATACAAACAAAACATAGATCAATTTATATTTTACTTGAGTAAAATATATTTAAGGTTATGTTCGTATTATTCAAAATATATAAAATATGAAGTATATACAAACACTTTCATTCACAATTCTATTCTACTATCTACGTTTTTATAGTTTTGCATACGAATTTATAATTTCTCAGACTTGGGTAAAATGTATATGGTTATGTTCGTATTATTCAAAATATACAGGGTGATTCAGACTTGTGGTGACAAAAGCTCAGTGGAAATTCAAATCAAAATATGAAAAAAAGTTCCTATAAACACGTGTCCGAAAAAGCTTCATTATCGAGATACAGGGTTTTTCGTTTAAAAAAAATTAGTTTTTTATTTATAGCTTAAAAACGCTTTGGCCGATTTTATTAAAAATTTATATGGTTTATTAAATAATAAATGATTCAAGGATAATAAAAAATTACGTAAAGTTCCTCTAGCTTAAAACTTTACCATGAGTTTTAAAGTATCAATTTTTTTTAGAAATATTGAGGGCCCCCACCAAATGTCGGCCCCAGGGCCTCAAAACTCTTAATCCGGCCCTGTTATGAGGCAATGTTGCCTTATAAAGAAAATATGACTCCCCTGTATCTTATTAAATAATGAAGAAAGAATTTTTTAAACAATTTTCTGGAATTCCTGGGGGTTTTTAGATAATACACCTTCATTTTGTCGCACTAATTGTGGGACACCCTGTATAATAATTTTCATATTAACACTCTACAAGTCTACAAAGATACGAGTTCAAAAGTCCAATTTTTATAAACCTCTGGACAAAAATAAAGCTAAAATTTTATCATGCCATTTTATCCTAACCTAAAAATCATGTGACAAAATCTTAAAAAAATTTTAAGTAAAAATCTAAAGAAAAATGCTTAAAAAAATAGTAGGTATACCCACAATCCACACAACAAGGTCTGTTCTATCTCGTACTAAAAATACAAAAAATCACTGCAACACTGCACAGTTTAACGGCGGCCATTTTTGTTGTTTACAATTTTTGTGCTTTGGGTTTGTGCTCTGTTTATACAGATTAATAATCGTTTTAAACGTTGTGTTTCCCATAGTAAGCCTTAAAAGAGTCCTTAAAGTGCTAAGAACAACCATTTTACTACTCTATTCAGGGCTGTCATAAAACTGTCAAATGTCAATTTTAAGGTTAAATTATATTAATTAACCTTTAAATTGTCATTTGACAGCCCTGATAGAATAAGGTATATTTATTATAAAAGAGGAGTAAAATGGTTGCACTTAAAGGCCTTATTTGAGGCTTACAAGTGCCTCTGTAAGAAACACAACGTTTAAAACAATTATTAAACAGCACAAACCCAAAGCACAAGAATGTAATTTTTAGTATTTTTAGCATGAGATAGACCTTGTTGTGTGGATTGTATACCTACCAATAAATAATTGCGGCGAAAGCTTATTAAATGCCTTGCGTTTAATTGTATGCTCGGCTACAATATGAGCTTTTTACATCTGTTTTAAATATTTTAAAAGCTCATTGACATTTGTCTGGTAATTTTTATAACCCACAATCCACACAACAAGGTTTGTTCTATCTCGTTTCGCGCATAATAAAAATCACGAAGTTAGGCAACCTATTGCACAGACTCTAACGGCGGCCATTTTTATGTTGTTTACAATTCTTGTGCTTAGGGTTTGTGCTGTTTATACAGATTAATAATCGTTTTAAACGTTGTGTGTCTTACGAAGGCACTTGTAAGCCTTAAAAGGGGCCTTAAAGTGCCTTTGTAGGTATAGTAAATTTGTGGGTTATGGTAAATTAACCTTAAAATTGACATTTGACATTTTTTTGACAGCCCTGATGGAATAAATTTTATTTTTTACAAAAGAGGACTAAAATGGTTGCCCTTAGCACTTTAATGTTTTCAAGTGCCTCTGTAAGAAACACAACTTTTAAAACGATTATTAATCTGTATAAACAGCACAAACCCAAAATACAAAAAATGTAAACAACATAATAATGGCCGCTGTTAGAGTTGGTTGCCTAACTTTTAGTATGCGCGAAACTAGATTGAACAGTCTGTTCTGAACAGATCTATGTGGATTGTGCATTAACTTTTGTTTTAGCCTACCAAGTCCTCAAATAAAACAACAAACTTAATTTCATAAATATGCAAATCCAATAAAATATGTTTTCTAAATTTTAGGTGACCAAGTTTATTGTCCAACTTGTAAACATGACGAATGTAATTCGGAACCGATTCCTTACAGGCAGTGTAACAAAAATATCCCTTTACTTCCATTTAATATAACTATCAATTACAACAGGGATAGCCATGATACTTATAAATGCTTGGATATACAATTTAAAGAAGGTAATAACCATACTTAAAATACAATTATGAGTGGTCCACTATAAAATACTTAATTCTTATTAAAAAAATCATTAATTATATAGTAAAGCGTGATTCAAATTAAGTTTCCAAATTACGGTGTAAAATATTTTTAAAACGCCACTGTATTTATTAACAGCAATGTGATATTTATAATCTATAGAAACATAAAAAAATGTCATGGTCTATGACTCATGGAGCAATTATACAGAAATCATGCAAGCCCTGTATGAAAATAGGCGATCGAGAAAAAATGCGTTTCGTTCTGTACGGGTGCGCAAAATCAACTTTCTGAGAGGTTAATTTGGAATGAGGTTTAAAAATTCCAGCAAACTGGATCCGTAGCTAACCCCTAAAATATTGCTATTCGTCATAGATCACAGCAAGTGGGCCTTACGTATTCCACTATAGTGTATACCTACACAAACTTTTATAAAAGATTTGCAATTACACCAATACAAAGTCCAAATAACACAAAAATTAGAGCCTCAGGACCACAAAAAAAATTGTTAAATTTTTAAATAAAAATTAACTTTAGCGATGAGACGCCGAGATAATGTGATTTAACTCCAGCAGATTTTCTTCCAAAGAGCAGAGTCTACAAGAATAATTAAAATACTATTGCTGAGCTTAAAAAGGAGACCAAAGGCGAAATAGCCAACATTAAACCTATTTTTTTTTCGCAGAATATTCTAAAGCAAATACTTTGACACATATACAAATCATTTCTAACTGAGATTGTTTCTTTTTCGTGGGGTTAAAGGAGGGAAAGTGAGAATCACACGGGTGATTGCATTGAGGCGCATGCGTGGTGGCATTGCCTGTTTAAAAAAAATACCATATTTTTGTCCCTATTTGGAAGGTATAATAAATACTTTTTAATAAATCGTGTAAAAAAAGCATTTATCAATAATAAACAAACAAAATGATGATATTTTAGATTTTAAAATGACTTGTTTATAACAGCAAGAATTTGGCAACGTCGCATTTCGACTCCGATAGCCAAAAGGTTTTTATCATACACATATTAATATGTAGATGGTTTTTATAAATAACCATTTTGTTTGTTTTTATGTTGTATACCAATTATTTTGAATTTTTTTTCATTTGTGTTTACGAGATTTTTAATGGCTTTTAGCTATTGGCATTTTTCTTTTATTCCTTTGATCGGTTATAAAATCTTGTTGTACTTCGAAGATTTCTTTCCACTTTACATACACACTTTACACTGATTTACGGGCTTTAAGAGGTTTTGTTGTATTATGATATTTTTGAATTTCCTTTAATCTGCTGTCTTGTAAATAAATAACAATGAAACTAATCTTTATAAGTTGGCAAACAACTTTCAGAAGCCAGGTTGCAGGCAGTTCCAAATATTGGATAAGTGTCTGCTTTACTAGTTTTAACTTTATCCATATTGTTCTTAAAATAGGTAAACACAAAAACAAAACGCCACTAAGTCTGATTTTGTCCAAACTGCACTTATTATTAAATTTATAACTAAACTAAACTAAAATACGTAAACGAAAGTATTTCTCTGCAACACGTTCTTGGTTATATTCTGTGGGTTTCACCAAATATATTACCCCCATACATTGGAAACTGACGCTAGTGCTAGCGCCAAGAGGCTAAAGTAAAGTAAAATAAAGGTGACGCCATCTAGGTCTACAATACCTAAGCAATGAGGAAAATTTAAGTAGATTTCTGTGACATGTTGGCGCCATATTTGAATGTTAATGCTTTTTTGGTTGCCTATTTATATATTGTATTTCCTGCTGCATATTAAATAAAACTAGAATGACATTATAAGATTTGTTTATTGTAGTAATAATATAATACAAAATAAAATACATACATCTATATGTACACATTATATACATAATCGGTATTTAGTAAGACAAAATTTAAAAATAAAATTACATATGAGGTCGAATAGCAAATATGAAAACCAAATAGAACTTCAAAAAAAATAGAAAATACGCATTAGAGGCATATCAGAGAAGCACAGAAAATCAAAGATATAATAAACTATATTACATAAAATAATGAGATGCGTCTTTTTGGCTTAGGACGGCAGGATAGTCAATACTTACAAATTGGTTACATTTCACAATCATTGTCACGTTATATTACTTTTATGGCGCAAAAATGTATTTTTTGTATTTTTAATTGAATCATTATGATTTACATTGAGATTTGCAAATAGCGTTTGTACAGAGGTCTGCAATTTACAAATGTATTGTATTGTAGCTTTAGAGGGCACTAATGGGAGAGTTTTCAATCTATGGGGATATTATTTTTTGGTTTCACAACGGTTAATGATACTGTAGAATTACGTGTTTCAGTGAAGTGCGCCACCCAACTGCCACATGACAGCAATATAAGGGGTTGTATTTTTTTAGTCGTTATTGATCAATGAGTAAAGGGCAAAGTTCAGCATAAGCTGTTCTACCACTTAACCCTGGACAAACACAAGTAAACAGCAATACCCAAGTGGGATTCGAACCCACGACCACTCGACTTGTAGCCTGCAGCACCGACTACTAAACCACCGAGGGCGGAAAAAATTAATTAAATTATAATACATACAACAATATTACAACTCAAAACTAACATAATGTTAGTTTTAAAAAATAACTGATTTATTAACATTAAATATTAAATACATTATAATTTATAATTACAACATTTAATAATATATTTACCTTTTTTGTAGAAAATAAAATTAAAAATATTAAACAATGTTTAACTGCAATAAATGGAAATAAAATTTGCAAAGACAATAATAAATACATAATAAACTGTGCACTAACTGAGCCAACCACTTTGATCGAATTAAAAAAGTATAAAAGAACAGCAGAATTAACTAAACCGACTAAAAGCAACACATCAGAACCGACCTCTACAACAACTATGGAACCGTCTACAAGTACCACAGCTGAGCCATTCACCACTACTACTGAAAGCACAACAGCAGAACCGACCTCTACAACAACTATGAAACCGTCTACAAGTACCACAGCTGAGCCATCTACCACTACTACTGAAAGCACAACAGCAGAACCGACCTCTACGACAACTATGGAACCGTCTACAAGTACCACATCTGAGCCATCTACCACTACTACTGAAAGCACAACAGCAGAACTGACCTCTACAACAACTATAGAACCGTCTACAAGTACCACAGCTGAGCCATCTACCACTACTACTGAAAGCACAACAGCAGAACCGACCTCTACAACAACTATAGAACCGTCTACAAGTACCACAGCTGAGCCATCTACCACTACTACTGAAAGCACAACAGCAGAAACGACTTCTACAACAAGTATAGAACCGTCTACAAGTACCACAGCTGAGCCATCTTCCTCTACAAGTGAAAGCACAACAGCAGAAACGACTTCCACAACAAGCATAGAATCGTCAACAAGCACCACAGCTGAGCCATCTACCACTACTACTGAAAGCACAACAGCAGGACCAACCTCTACAACAACTATAGAACCGTGTACAAGTACTACAGCTGAGCCATCTACCACTACTACTGAAAGCACAACAGCAGAACCGACCTCTACAACAACTATAGAACCGTCTACAAGTACCACAGCTGAGCCATCTACCACTACTACTGAAAGCACAACAGCAGAACCGACCTCTACAACAACTATAGAACCGTCTACAAGTACTACAGCTGAGCCATCTTCCACTTCTACTGAAAGCACAACAGCAGAACCGACCTCTACAACAACTATGGAGCCGTCTACAAGTACCACAGCTGAGCCATCTACCACTACTACTGAAAGCACAACAGCAAAACCGACCTCTACAACAACTATGGAACCGTCTACAAGTACCACAGCTGAGCCATATACCACTACTACTGAAAGCACAACAGCAGAACTGACCTCTACAACAACTATGGAACCGTCCACAAGTACCACAGCTGAGCCTTCTACCACTACTACTGAAAGCACAACAGCAGAACCGACTTCTACAACAACTATGGAACCATCTACAAGTACCACAGCTGAGCCATCTACTACTACTACTGAAAGCACAACAGCAGAACCGACCTCTACAACAACTATGGAACCGTCTACAAGTACCACAGCTGAGCCATCTACCACTACTACTGAAAGCACAAAAGCAGAACCAACCTCTACAACAACTATAGAACCGTCTACAAGTACCACAGCTGAGCCATCTACCACTACTACTGAAAGCACAACAGCAGAACCAACCTCTACAACAACTATAGAACCGTCTACAAGTACCACAGCTGAGCCATCTACCACTACTACTGAAAGCACAACAGCTATGGAACCGTCTACAAGTACCACAGCTGAGCCATCTACCACTACTACTGAAAGCACAACAGCAGAACCAACCTCTACAACAACTATAGAACCGTCTACAAGTACTACAGCTGAGCCATCTTCCACTTCTACTGAAAGCACAACAGCAGAACCGACCTCTACAACAACTATGGAACCGTCTAGAAGTACCACAGCTGAGCCATCTACCACTACTACTGAAAGCACAACAGTAGAACCGACCTCTACAACAACTATGGAACCGTCTACAAGTACCACAGCTGAGCCATCTACCACTACTACTGAAAGCACAAAAGCAGAACCAACCTCTACAACAACTATAGAACCGTCTACAAGTACCACAGCTGAGCCATCTACCACTACTACTGAAAGCACAACAGCAGAACCAACCTCTACAACAACTATAGAACCGTCTACAAGTACCACAGCTGAGCCATCCAACACTACTACTGAAAGCACAACAGCAGAACCGACCTCTACAACAACTATGGAACCGTCTACAAGTACCACAGCTGAGCCATCTACCACTACTACTGAAAGCACAACAGTAGAACCGACCTCTACAACAACTATGGAACCGTCTACAAGTACCACAGCTGAGCCATCTACCACTACTACTGAAAGCACAACAGCAGAACCAACCTCTACAACAACTATGGAACCGTCTACAAGTACCACAGCTGAGCCATCTACCACTACTACTGAAAGCACAAAAGCAGAACCAACCTCTACAACAACTATAGAACCGTCTACAAGTACCACAGCTGAGCCATCTACCACTACTACTGAAAGCACAACAGCAGAACCAACCTCTACAACAACTATAGAACCGTCTACAAGTACCACAGCTGAGCCATCCAACACTACTACTGAAAGCACAACAGCAGAACCGACCTCTACAACAACTATGGAACCGTCTACAAGTACCACAGCTGAGCCATCTACCACTACTACTGAAAGCACAACAGCTATGGAACCGTCTACAAGTACCACAGCTGAGCCATCTACCACTACTACTGAAAGCACAACAGCAGAACCGACCTCTACAACAACTATGGAACCGTCTACAAGTACCACAGCTGAGCCATCTACCACTACTACTGAAAGCACAACAGCTATGGGACCGTCTACAAGTACCACAGCTGAGCCATCTACCACTACTACTGAAAGCACAACAGCAGAACCAACCTCTACAACAACTATAGAACCGTCTACAAGTACCACAGCTGAGCCATCCAACACTACTACTGAAAGCACAACAGCAGAACCGACCTCTACAACAACTATGGAACCGTCTACAAGTACCACAGCTGAGCCATCTACCACTACTACTGAAAGCACAACAGCTATGGGACCGTCTACAAGTACCACAGCTGAGCCATCTACCACTACTACTGAAAGCACAACAGCAGAACCAACCTCTACAACAACTATAGAACCGTCTACAAGTACCACAGCTGAGCCATCCAACACTACTACTGAAAGCACAACAGCAGAACCGACCTCTACAACAACTATGGAACCGTCTACAAGTACCACAGCTGAGCCATCTACCACTACTACTGAAAGCACAACAGCTATGGAACCGTCTACAAGTACCACAGCTGAGCCATCTACCACTACTACTGAAAGCACAACAGCAGAACCGACCTCTACAACAACTATGGAACCGTCTACAAGTACCACAGCTGAGCCATCTACCACTACTACTGAAAGCACAACAGCTATGGGACCGTCTACAAGTACCACAGCTGAGCCATCTACCACTACTACTGAAAGCACAACAGCAGAACCAACCTCTACAACAACTATAGAACCGTCTACAAGTACTACAGCTGAGCCATCTACCACTACTACTGAAAGCACAACAGCAGAACCAACCTCTACAACAACTATAGAACCGTCTACAAGTACCACAGCTGAGCCATCTACCACTACTACTGAAAGCACAACAGCTATGGGACCGTCTACAAGTACCACAGCTGAGCCATCTACCACTACTACTGAAAGCACAACAGCAGAACCAACCTCTACAACAACTATAGAACCGTCTACAAGTACCACAGCTGAGCCATCTACCACTACTACTGAAAGCACAACAGCAGAACCGACCTCTACAACAACTATGGAACCGTCTACAAGTACCACAGCTGAGCCATCTACCACTACTACTGAAGGCACAACAGCAGAACCGACCTCTACAACAACTATAGAACCGTCTACAAGTACCACAGCTGAGCCATCTACCACTACTACTGAAAGCACAACAGCTATGGGACCGTCTACAAGTACCACAGCTGAGCCATCTACCACTACTACTGAAAGCACAACAGCAGAACCAACCTCTACAACAACTATAGAACCGTCTACAAGTACTACAGCTGAGCCATCTACCACTACTACTGAAAGCACAACAGCAGAATCAACCTCTACAACAACTATAGAACCGTCTACAAGTACCACAGCTGAGCCATCTACCACTACTACTGAAAGCACAACAGCTATGGGACCGTCTACAAGTACCACAGCTGAGCCATCTACCACTACTACTGAAAGCACAACAGCAGAACCAACCTCTACAACAACTATAGAACCGTCTACAAGTACCACAGCTGAGCCATCTACCACTACTACTGAAAGCACAACAGCAGAACCGACCTCTACAACAACTATGGAACCGTCTACAAGTACCACAGCTGAGCCATCTACCACTACTACTGAAGGCACAACAGCAGAACCGACCTCTACAACAACTATAGAACCGTCTACAAGTACCACAGCTGAGCCATCTACCACTACTACTGAAAGCACAACAGCTATGGGACCGTCTACAAGTACCACAGCTGAGCCATCTACCACTACTACTGAAAGCACAACAGCAGAACCAACCTCTACAACAACTATAGAACCGTCTACAAGTACCACAGCTGAGCCATCTACCACGACTACTGAAAGCACAACAGCAGAACCAACCTCTACAACAACTATAGAACCGTCTACAAGTACTACAGCTGAGCCATCTTCCACTTCTACTGAAAGCACAACAGCAGAACCGACCTCTACAACAACTATGGAACCGTCTAGAAGTACCACAGCTGAGCCATCTACCACTACTACTGAAAGCACAACAGTAGAACCGACCTCTACAACAACTATGGAACCGTCTACAAGTACTACAGCTGAGCCATCTACCACTACTACTGAAAGCACAAAAGCAGAACCAACCTCTACAACAACTATAGAACCGTCTACAAGTACCACAGCTGAGCTATCTACCACTACTACTGAAAGCACAACAGCTATGGGACCGTCTACAAGTACCACAGCTGAGCCATCTACCACTACTACTGAAAGCACAACAGCAGAACCAACCTCTACAACAACTATAGAACCGTCTACAAGTACCACAGCTGAGCCATCTACCACTACTACTGAAAGCACAACAGCAGAACCGACCTCTACAACAACTATGGAACCGTTTACAAGTACCACAGCTGAGCCATCTACCACTACTACTGAAAGCACAACAGCAGAACCGACCTCTACAACAACTATGGAACCGTCTACAAGTACCACAGCTGAGCCATCTACCACTACTACTGAAAGCACAACAGCAGAACCGACCTCTACAACAACTATGGAACCGTCTACAAGTACCACAGCTGAGCCATCTACCACTACTACTGAAAGCACAACAGCAGAACCGACCTCTACAACAACTATAGAACCGTCTACAAGTACCACAGCTGAGCCATCTACCACTACTACTGAAAGCACAACAGCAGAACCAACCTCTACAACAACTATAGAACCGTCTACAAGTACCACAGCTGAGCCATCTACCACTACTACTGAAAGCACAACAGCAGAACCAACCTCTACAACTATAGAACCGTCTACAAGTACCACAGCTGAGCCATCTACCACTACTACTGAAAGCACAACAGCTATGGAACCGTCTACAAGTACCACAGCTGAGCCATCTACCACTACTACTGAAAGCACAACAGCAGAACCGACCTCTACAACAACTATGGAACCGTCTACAAGTACCACAGCTGAGCCATCTACCACTACTACTGAAAGCACAACAGCAGAACCGACCTCTACAACAACTATAGAACCGTCTACAAGTACCACAGCTGAGCCATCTACCACTACTACTGAAAGCACAACAGCAGAACCAACCTCTACAACAACTATAGAACCGTCTACAAGTACCACAGCTGAGCCATCTACCACTACTACTGAAAGCACAACAGCTATGGAACCGTCTACAAGTACCACAGCTGAGCCATCTACCACTACTACTGAAAGCACAACAGCAGAACCGACCTCTACAACAACTATGGAACCGTCTACAAGTACCACAGCTGAGCCATCTACCACTACTACTGAAAGCACAACAGCAGAACCAACCTCTACAACAACTATAGAACCGTCTACAAGTACCACAGCTGAGCCATCTACCACTACTACTGAAAGCACAACAGCTATGGAACCGTCTACAAGTACCACAGCTGAGCCATCTACCACTACTACTGAAAGCACAACAGCAGAACCGACCTCTACAACAACTATGGAACCGTCTACAAGTACCACAGCTAAGCCATCTACCACTACTACTGAAAGCACAACAGCTATGGAACCGTCTACAAGTACCACAGCTGAGCCATCTACCACTACTACTGAAAGCACAACAGCAGAACCAACCTCTACAACAACTATAGAACCGTCTACAAGTACCACAGCTGAGCCATCTACCACTACTACTGAAAGCACAACAGCTATAGAACCGTCTACAAGTACCACAGCTGAGCCATCTACCACTACTACTGAAAGCACAACAGCAGAACCAACCTCTACAACAACTATAGAACCGTCTACAAGTACCACAGCTGAGCCATCTACCACTACTACTGAAAGCACAACAGCTATGGAACCGTCTACAAGTACCACAGCTGAGCCATCTACCACTACTACTGAAAGCACAACAGCAGAACCGACCTCTACAACAACTATGGAACCGTCTACAAGTACCACAGCTGAGCCATCTACCACTACTACTGAAAGCACAACAGCTATGGAACCGTCTACAAGTACCACAGCTGAGCCATCTACCACTACTACTGAAAGCACAACAGCAGAACCAACCTCTACAACAACTATAGAACCGTCTACAAGTACCACAGCTGAGCCATCTACCACTACTACTGAAAGCACAACAGCAGAACCGACCTCTACAACAACTATAGAACCGTCTACAAGTACCACAGCTGAGCCATCTACCACTACTACTGAAAGCACAACAGCAGAACCAACCTCTACAACAACTATAGAACCGTCTACAAGTACCACAGCTGAGCCATCTACCACTACTACTGAAAGCACAACAGCAGAACCGACCTCTACAACAACTATAGAACCGTCTACAAGTACCACAGCTGAGCCATCTACCACTACTACTGAAAGCACAACAGCAGAACCAACCTCTACAACAACTATAGAACCGTCTACAAGTACCACAGCTGAGCCATCTACCACTACTACTGAAAGCACAACAGCAGAACCGACCTCTACAACAACTATAGAACCGTCTACAAGTACCACAGCTGAGCCATCTACCACTACTACTGAAAGCACAACAGCAGAACCAACCTCTACAACTATAGAACCGTCTACAAGTACCACAGCTGAGCCATCTACCACTACTACTGAAAGCACAACAGCTATGGAACCGTCTACAAGTACCACAGCTGAGCCATCTACCACTACTACTGAAAGCACAACAGCTATGGAACCGTCTACAAGTACCACAGCTGAGCCATCTACCACTACTACTGAAAGCACAACAGCTATGGAACCGTCTACAAGTACCACAGCTGAGCCATCTACCACTACTACTGAAAGCACAACAGCAGAACCGACCTCTACAACAACTATGGAACCGTCTACAAGTACCACAGCTGAGCCATCTACCACTACTACTGAAAGCACAACAGCAGAACCAACCTCTACAACAACTATAGAACCGTCTACAAGTACCACAGCTGAGCCATCTACCACTACTACTGAAAGCACAACAGCTATGGAACCGTCTACAAGTACCACAGCTGAGCCATCTACCACTACTACTGAAAGCACAACAGCAGAACCGACCTCTACAACAACTATAGAAACGTCTACAAGTACCACAGCTGAGCCATCTACCACTACTACTGAAAGCACAACAGCAGAACCAACCTCTACAACAACTATAGAACCGTCTACAAGTACCACAGCTGAGCCATCTACCACTACTACTGAAAGCACAACAGCTATGGAACCGTCTACAAGTACCACAGCTGAGCCATCTACCACTACTACTGAAAGCACAACAGCAGAACCGACCTCTACAACAACTATAGAACCGTCTACAAGTACCACAGCTGAGCCATCTACCACTACTACTGAAAGCACAACAGCAGAACCGACCTCTACAACAACTATAGAAACGTCTACAAGTACCACAGATGAGCCATCTACCACTACTACTGAAAGCACAACAGCAGAACCGACCTCTACAACAACTATGGAACCGTCTACAAGTACCACAGCTGAGCCATCCACCACTACTACTAAAAGCACAACAGCAGAACCGACCTCTACAACAACTATGGAACCGTCTACAAGTACCACAGCTGAGCCATCTACCACTACTACTGAAAGCACAACAGCAGAACTGACCTCTACAACAACTATTGAACCGTCTACAAGTACCACAGCTGAGCCATCTACCACTACTACTGAAAGCACAACAGCAGAACCGACATCTACAACAACTATGGAACCGTCTACAAGTACCACAGCTGAGCCATCTACCACTACTACTGAAAGCACAACAGTAGAACCGACCTCTACAACAACTATGAAACCGTCTACAAGTACCACAGCTAAGCCATCTACTACTAGTATTGAAAGCACAACAGCAGAACTGACTTCTACAACAACTATGGAACCGTCTACAAGTACCACAGCTGAGCCATCTACTACTACTACTGAAAGCACAACAGCAGAACCGACCTCTACAACAACTATAGAACCGTCTACAAGTACCACAGCTGAGCCATCTACCACTACTACTGAAAGCACAACAGCAGAACCAACCTCTACAACAACTATAGAACCGTCTACAAGTACCACAGCTGAGCCATCTACCACTACTACTGAAAGCACAACAGCAGAACCGACCTCTACAACAACTATAGAACCGTCTACAAGTACCACAGCTGAGCCATCTACCACTACTACTGAAAGCACAACAGCAGAACCAACCTCTACAACTATAGAACCGTCTACAAGTACCACAGCTGAGCCATCTACCACTACTACTGAAAGCACAACAGCTATGGAACCGTCTACAAGTACCACAGCTGAGCCATCTACCACTACTACTGAAAGCACAACAGCAGAACCGACCTCTACAACAACTATGGAACCGTCTACAAGTACCACAGCTGAGCCATCTACCACTACTACTGAAAGCACAACAGCTATGGAACCGTCTACAAGTACCACAGCTGAGCCATCTACCACTACTACTGAAAGCACAACAGCTATGGAACCGTCTACAAGTACCACAGCTGAGCCATCTACCACTACTACTGAAAGCACAACAGCAGAACCGACCTCTACAACAACTATGGAACCGTCTACAAGTACCACAGCTGAGCCATCTACCACTACTACTGAAAGCACAACAGCAGAACCAACCTCTACAACAACTATAGAACCGTCTACAAGTACCACAGCTGAGCCATCTACCACTACTACTGAAAGCACAACAGCTATGGAACCGTCTACAAGTACCACAGCTGAGCCATCTACCACTACTACTGAAAGCACAACAGCAGAACCGACCTCTACAACAACTATAGAAACGTCTACAAGTACCACAGCTGAGCCATCTAACACTACTACTGAAAGCACAACAGCAGAACCAACCTCTACAACAACTATAGAACCGTCTACAAGTACCACAGCTGAGCCATCTACCACTACTACTGAAAGCACAACAGCTATGGAACCGTCTACAAGTACCACAGCTGAGCCATCTACCACTACTACTGAAAGCACAACAGCAGAACCGACCTCTACAACAACTATAGAACCGTCTACAAGTACCACAGCTGAGCCATCTACCACTACTACTGAAAGCACAACAGCAGAACCGACCTCTACAACAACTATAGAAACGTCTACAAGTACCACAGATGAGCCATCTACCACTACTACTGAAAGCACAACAGCAGAACCGACCTCTACAACAACTATGGAACCGTCTACAAGTACCACAGCTGAGCCATCCACCACTACTACTAAAAGCACAACAGCAGAACCGACCTCTACAACAACTATGGAACCGTCTACAAGTACCACAGCTGAGCCATCTACCACTACTACTGAAAGCACAACAGCAGAACTGACCTCTACAACAACTATTGAACCGTCTACAAGTACCACAGCTGAGCCATCTACCACTACTACTGAAAGCACAACAGCAGAACCGACATCTACAACAACTATGGAACCGTCTACAAGTACCACAGCTGAGCCATCTACCACTACTACTGAAAGCACAACAGTAGAACCGACCTCTACAACAACTATGAAACCGTCTACAAGTACCACAGCTGAGCCATCTACTACTAGTATTGAAAGCACAACAGCAGAACTGACTTCTACAACAACTATGGAACCGTCTACAAGTACCACAGCTGAGCCATCTACTACTACTACTGAAAGCACAACAGCAGAACCGACTTCTACAACAACTATGGAACCGTCTACAAGGACCACAGCTGAGCCATCTACCACTACTACTAAAACAGCAGAACCAACCTCTACAACAACAGCAGAACCGACTTCTACAACAACTATAGAACCGTCTACAAGTACCACAGCTGAGCCATCTACCACTACTACTGAAAGCACAACAGCGGAACCGACCTCTACAACAACTATAGAACCGTCTACAAGTACCACAGATGAGCCATCTACCACTACTACTGAAAGCACAACAGCAGAACCGACCTCTACAACAACTATGAAACCGTCTACAAGTACCACAGCTGAGCCATTTACCACTACTACTGAAAGCACAACAGCAGAACTGACCTCTACAACAACTATTGAACCGTCTACAAGTACCACAGCTGAGCCATCTACTACTAGTATTGAAAGCACAACAGCAGAACCGACTTCTACAACAACTATGGAACCGCCTACAAGTACCACAGCTGAGCCATCTACCACTACTACTGAAAGCACAAAGGCAGAACCGACCTCTACAACAACTATGGAACCGTCTACAAGTACTACATCAGAGCCATCTTCCACTTCTACTGAAAGCACAACAGCAGAACCGACCTCTACAACAACTATGGAACCGTCTAGAAGTACCACAGCTGAGCCATCTACCACTACTACTGAAAGCACAACAACAGAACCAACCTCTACAACAACAGCAGAACCGACCTCTACAACAAGTATAGAACCGTCTACGAGTACCACGGTGAAGCCATCTTCCAATACAAGTGAAAGCACAACAGCAAAACCGACTTCTACAACAAGTATAGAACCGTCTACGAGTACCACGGTGAAGCCATCTTCCACTACAAGTGAAAGCACAACAGCAAAACCGACTTCTACAACAAGTATAGAACCGTCTACAGGTACCACGGCTGAGCCATCTTCCACTACAAGTACCACAGCTGAGCCATCTTCCACTATAAGTGAAAGCACAACAGCAGAAACGACTTCTACAACAAGTATAGAACCGTCTACGAGTACCACGGCGAAGCCATCTTCCACTACAAGTGAAAGCACAACAGCAAAACCGACTTCTACAACAAGTATAGAACCGTCTACAGTTACCACGGCTGAGCCATCTTCCACTACAAGTGAAAGCACAACAGCAAAACCGACTTCTACAACAAGTATAGAACCGTCTACAGTTACCACGGCTGAGCCATCTTTCACTACAAGTGAAAGCACAACAGCAAAACCGACTTCTACAACAAGTATAGAACCGTCTACAGTTACCACGGCTGAGCCATCTTTCACTACAAGTGAAAGCACAACAGCAAAACCGACTTCTACAACAAGTATAGAACCGTCTACAGTTACCACGGCTGAGCCATCTTCCACTACAAGTGAAAGCACAACAGCAAAACCGACTTCTACAACAAGTATAGAACCGTCTACAGGTACCACGGCTGAGCCATCTTTTACTACAAGTACCACAGCTGAGCCATCTTCCACTATAAGTGAAAGCACAACAGCAGAAACGACTTCTACAACAAGTATAGAACCGTCTACGAGTACCACGGCGAAGCCATCTTCCACTACAAGTGAAAGCACAACAGCAAAACCGACTTCTACAACAAGTATAGAACCGTCTACAGTTACCACGGCTGAGCCATCTTCCACTACAAGTGAAAGCACAACAGCAAAACCGACTTCTACAACAAGTATAGAACCGTCTACAGTTACCACGGCTGAGCCATCTTCCACTACAAGTGAAAGCACAACAGCAAAACCGACTTCTACAACAAGTATAGAACCGTCTACAGTTACCACGGCTGAGCCATCTTTCACTACAAGTGAAAGCACAACAGCAAAACCGACTTCTACAACAAGTATAGAACCGTCTACAGTTACCACGGCTGAGCCATCTTCCACTACAAGTGAAAGCACAACAGCAAAACCGACTTCTACAACAAGTATAGAACCGTCTACAGTTACCACGGCTGAGCCATCTTCCACTACAAGTGAAAGCACAACAGCAAAACCGACTTCTACAACAAGTATAGAACCGTCTACAGTTACCACGGCTGAGCCATCTTCCACTACAAGTGAAAGCACAACAGCAAAACCGACTTCTACAACAAGTATAGAACCGTCTACAGTTACCACGGCTGAGCCATCTTTCACTACAAGTGAAAGCACAACAGCAGAAACGACTTCTACAACAAGTATAGAACCGTCTACGAGTACCACGGCTAAGCCATCTTCCACTACAAGTGAAAGCACAACAGCAAAACCGAGTTCTACAACAAGTATAGAACCGTATACAGTTACCACGGCTGAGCCATCTTCCACTACAAGTGCCACAGCTGAGCCATCTTCCACTACAAGTGAAAGCACAACAGCAAAACCGACTTCTACAACAAGTATAGAACCGTCTACAGTTACCACGGCTGAGCCATCTTCCACTACAAGTGAAAGCACAACAGCAAAACCGACTTCTACAACAAGTATAGAACCGTCTACAGTTACCACGGCTGAGCCATCTTTCACTACAAGTGAAAGCACAACAGCAGAAACGACTTCTACAACAAGTATAGAACCGTCTACGAGTACCACGGCTAAGCCATCTTCCACTACAAGTAAAAGCACAACAGCAAAACCGAGTTCTACAACAAGTATAGAACCGTATACAGTTACCACGGCTGAGCCATCTTCCACTACAAGTGCCACAGCTGAGCCATCTTCCACTACAAGTGAAAGCACAACAGCAAAACCGACTTCTACAACAAGTATTGAACCGTCTACAGGTACGACGGCTGAGCCATCTTCCACTACAAGTGAAAGCACAACAGCAAAACCGACTTCTACAACAAGTATAGAACCGTCCACAGGTACCACGGCTGAGCCATCTTCAACTACAAGTGAAAGCACAACAGCAAAACCGACTTCTACAACAAGTATAGAACCGTCTACAGTTACCACGGCTGAGCCATCTTTCACTACAAGTGAAAGCACAACAGCAAAACCGACTTCTACAACAAGTATTGAACCGTCTACAGGTACGACGGCTGAGCCATCTTCCACTACAAGTGAAGGCACAACAGCAAAACCGACTTCTACAACAAGTATAGAACCGTCCACAGGTACCACGGCTGAGCCATCTTCCACTACAAGTGAAAGCACAACAGCAAAACCGACTTCTACAACAAGTATAGAACCGTCTACAGGTACGACGGCTGAGCCATCTTCAACTACAAGTGAAAGCACAACAGCAAAACCGACTTCTACAACAAGTATAGAACCGTCTACAGTTACCACGGCTGAGCCATCTTTCACTACAAGTGAAAGCACAACAGCAAAACCGACTTCTACAACAAGTATAGAACCGTCTACAGGTACCACGGCTAAGCCATCTTCCACTACAAGTGAAAGCACAACAGAAAAACCGACTTCTACAACAAGTATAGAACCGTCTACAGTTACCACGGCTGAGCCATCTTTCACTACAAGTGAAAGCACAACAGCAAAACCGACTTCTACAACAAGTATAGAACCGTCTACAGGTACGACGGCTGAGCCATCTTCAACTACAAGTGAAAGCACAACAGCAAAACCGACTTCTACAACAAGTATAGAACCGTCTACAGTTACCACGGCTGAGCCATCTTCCACTACAAGTGAAAGCACAACAGCAAAACCGATTTCTACAACAAGTATAGGACCGGCAACAATTACCACAGCTGAGCCATCTTCCGCTACAACTGAAAGCACAACAGCAAAACCGACTTCTACAACAAGTATAGGACCGGCAACAAGTACCACAGCTGAGCCATCTTCCGCTACAACTGAAAGCACAACAGCAAAACCGACTTCTACAACAAGTATAGAACCGTCTACAGTTACCACGGCTGAGCCATCTTTCACTACAAGTGAAAGCACAACAGCAAAACCGACTTCTACAACAAGTATAGAACCGTCTACAGGTACCACGGCTGAGCCATCTTCCACTACAAGTGAAAGCACAACAGCAAAACCGACTTCTACAACAAGTATAGAACCGTCTACAAGTACCACGGCTAAGCCATCTTCCACTACAAGTGAAAGCACAACAGAAAAACCGACTTCTACAACAAGTATAGAACCGTCTACAGTTACCACGGCTGAGCCATCTTTCACTACAAGTGAAAGCACAACAGCAAAACCGACTTCTACAACAAGTATAGAACCGTCTACAGGTACGACGGCTGAGCCATCTTCAACTACAAGTGAAAGCACAACAGCAAAACCGACTTCTACAACAAGTATAGAACCGTCTACAGTTACCACGGCTGAGCCATCTTCCACTACAAGTGAAAGCACAACAGCAAAACCGACTTCTACAACAAGTATAGGACCGGCAACAATTACCACAGCTGAGCCATCTTCCGCTACAACTGAAAGCACAACAGCAAAACCGACTTCTACAACAAGTATAGGACCGGCAACAAGTACCACAGCTGAGCCATCTTCCGCTACAACTGAAAGCACAACAGCAAAACCGACTTCTACAACAAGTATAGGACCGGCAACAAGTACCACAGCTGAGCCATCTTCCGCTACAACTGAAAGCACAACAGCAAAACCGACTTCTACAACAAGTATAGGACCGGCAACAAGTACCACAGCTGAACCATCTTCTGCTACAACTGAAAGCACAACAGCAAAACTGACTTCTACAACAAGTATAGGACCGGCAACAAGTACCACAGCTGAGCCATCTTCCGCTACAACTGAAAGCACAACAGCAAAACCGACTTCTACAACAAGTATAGGACCGGCAACAAGTACCACAGCTGAACCATCTTCCGCCACAACTGAAAGCACAACAGCAAAACGGACTTCTACAACAAGTATAGGACCGGCAACAAGTACCACAGCTGAGCCATCTTCCGCTAGAACTGAAAGCACAACAGCAAAACCGACTTCTACAACAAGTATAGGACCGGCAACAAGTACCACAGCTGAGCCATCTTCCGCTAGAACTGAAAGCACAACAGCAAAACCGACTTCTACAACAAGTATAGGACCGGCAACAAGTACCACAGCTGAGCCATCTTCCGCTACAACTGAAAGCACAACAGCAAAACCGACTTCTACAACAAGTATAGGACCGGCAACAAGTACCAACAGCTGAGCCATCTTCCGCTACAACTGAAAGCACAACAGCAAAACCGACTTCTACAACAAGTATAGGACCGGCAACAAGTACCACAGCTGAACCATCTTCTGCTACAACTGAAAGCACAACAGCAAAACTGACTTCTACAACAAGTATAGGACCGGCAACAAGTACCACAGCTGAGCCATCTTCCGCTACAACTGAAAGCACAACAGCAAAACCGACTTCTACAACAAGTATAGGACCGGCAACAAGTACCACAGCTGAACCATCTTCCGCCACAACTGAAAGCACAAACAGCAAAACGGACTTCTACAACAAGTATAGGACCGGCAACAAGTACCACAGCTGAGCCATCTTCCGCTAGAACTGAAAGCACAACAGCAAAAACCGACTTCTACAACAAGTATAGGACCGGCAACAAGTACCACAGCTGAGCCATCTTCCGCTAGAACTGAAAGCACAACAGCAAAACCGACTTCTACAACAAGTATAGGACCGGCAACAAGTACCACAGCTGAGCCATCTTCCGCTACAACTGAAAGCACAACAGCAAAACCGACTTCTACAACAAGTATAGGACCGGCAACAAGTACCACAGCTGAGCCATCTTCCGCTACAACTGAAAGCACAACAGCAAAACCGACTTCTACAACAAGTATAGGACCGGCAACAAGTACCACAGCTGAGCCATCTTCCGCTACAACTGAAAGCACAACAGCAAAACCGACTTCTACAACAAGTATAGGACCGGCAACAAGTACCACAGCTGAGCCATCTTCCGCTACAACTGAAAGCACAACAGCAAAACCGACTTCTACAACAAGTATAGGACCGGCAACAAGTACCACAGCTGAGCCATCTTCCGCTACAACTGAAAGCACAACAGCAAAACCGACTTCTACAACAAGTATAGGACCGTCAACAAGTACCACAGCTGAGCCATCTTCCGCTAGAACTGAAAGCACAACAGCAAAACCGACTTCTACAACAAGTATAGAACCGTCTACAGGTACCACCGCTGAGCCATCTTCCACTACAAGTGAAAGCACAACAGCAAAACCGACTTCTACAACAAGTATAGGACCGGCAACAAGTACCACAGCTGAGCCATCTTCCGCTAGAACTGAAAGCACAACAGCAAAACCGACTTCTACAACAAGTATAGGACCGGCAACAAGTACCACAGCTGAGCCATCTTCCGCTACAACTGAAAGCACAACAGCAAAACCGACTTCTACAACAAGTATAGGACCGGCAACAAGTACCACAGCTGAGCCATCTTCCGCTACAACTGAAAGCACAACAGCAAAACCGACTTCTACAACAAGTATAGGACCGGCAACAAGTACCACAGCTGAGCCATCTTCCGCTACAACTGAAAGCACAACAGCAAAACCGACTTCTACAACAAGTATAGGACCGGCAACAAGTACCACAGCTGAGCCATCTTCCGCTACAACTGAAAGCACAACAGCAAAACCGACTTCTACAACAAGTATAGGACCGTCAACAAGTACCACAGCTGAGCCATCTTCCGCTACAACTGAAAGCACAACAGCAAAACCGACTTCTACAACAAGTATAGGACCGGCAACAAGTACCACAGCTGAGCCATCTTCCGCTAGAACTGAAAGCACAACAGCAAAACCGACTTCTACAACAAGTATAGGACCGGCAACAAGTACCACAGCTGAGCCATCTTCCGCTACAAGTGAAAGCACAACAGCAGAAACGACTTCTACAACAAGTATAGGACCGGCAACAAGTACCACAGCTGAGCCATCTTCCGCTACAACTGAAAGCACAACAGCAAAACCGACTTCTACAACAAGTATAGGACCGGCAACAAGTACCACAGCTGAGTCATCTTCCACTACAAGTGAAAGCACAACAGCAGAAACGACTTCTACAACAAGTATGGAACCGTCTACAAGTACCACAGCTGAGCCATCGAGTGAAAGCACAACGGCAGAAACGACTTCTACAACAAGTATAGAATCGTCTACAAGTACCACAGCTGAGTCATCTTCCACTACAAGTGAAAGCACAACAGCAGAAATGACTTCTACAACAAGTATAGAATCGTCAACAAGTACCACGGCTGAGCCATCTTCCACTACTACTGAAAGCACAACAGCAGAAACGACTTCTACAACAAGTATAGTACCGTCTACAAGTACCACAGCTGAGTCATCTTCCCCTACAAGTGAAAGCACAACAGCAGAAACGACTTCTACAACAAGTATACAATCCTCAACAAGTACCACAGCTGAGCCATCTTCCACTACAAGTGAAAGCACAACAGCAGAAACGACTTCTACAACAAGTATAGAATCCTCAACAAGTACCACAGCTGAGTCATCTTCCACTACAAGTGAAAGCACAACAGCAGAAACGACTTCTACAACAAGTATAGAATCCTCAACAAGTACCACAGCTGAGCCATCTTCCACTTCAAGTGAAAGCACAACAGCAGAAACGACTTCTACAACAAGTATAGAATCCTCAACAAGTACCACAGCTGAGCCATCTTCCACTTCAAGTGAAAGCACAACAGCAGAAACGACTTCTACAACAACTGTAAAACCTTCCACAAGTACTACAACTAATGCAACAACAACTGCTTCGAACACAACACCAAATGATTCAGATCCTATTGGTCCACTGTTTCCAGATGGTGCTTCCACAAATGTTATTTCTATTACGAGCATTGCGGTTCTTTTAATTCACTTTATTATATAAATTTAGTTATTTTTAGTTTTTTATAAAACTTTTTATATTTAATAATTATAGTTATACTATTATTTTATAAAATCCTTTTTTATTGATATTTTTTTTATTTATTATTACATTATATGCAGATTTTATTTGCAATATTATTTTAAAAATAATAATATAAATTCTTATGTTTTTTACTTATGTTTATACCATACATATCACTTTTAGAAATCCGAAAGCATCGTTAACTATAGTTAATGATATACCTATTCGCGTAAAATAATATTCCAATATAGGTCCAACCTTAAATAAACATTGGTACTGATATATTAAATTTTCATTTTATGCCAATTTAGGGCTAACATCGGCTAGATAAATCCAATATTGGCCCTAGATAAAATATTGGTCATAGATGGGCCCCATATAGGACCAATATTTTGTGCTACTGGGGTTATGTCTTAATTCCAAGTAAGTGTTGGATAAATATAAATATAATAATATCTAACAAATATTTTTTTAATTTTTAACAAGTGTAACAGGAAGAAAACTTAACAACTTGTTAATATCCTAATTAAGGGATCAAAGTTTCATTGTACTACAAAACGTTAAACATTTACATTTACAATCGGGTTTTTAGTTTTATTCAACATTAACAAAGGTAATTTTATGTCGTCGAATCGAGACTTGCGTTAATCGCCCGCCACTATAAATAATTAAATCGCTTTTGCGGATCCGTATACCATTTAAACCTGCCATAAAAGCATTGGATGCAAACTTTTTATCGGCGATACACTTTCGGGGGGGAAATCGCTGTAAACAGTTCCAGTCCCGCAGCATCATTCCGAAGGCGCCAGACTGGCGGACAACACAAAGTTATTGCCAATGTTTGTGCCGCGGAATTTCCCCATTTCACCCCCATTCGCGATCGATAACAAGGGGACAAGGATATGTCATCTCTTGTTGGATCGCGACAAGTGCATATAAGGGTCGCATTCCTCAACATCAGCATCAAACAAAGGCATAGTTTTGTAAAATTATTAGTTAAGTTGATTTATTATTTTCCCTATAGTAACCAAAGTACAGGGTGATCCCCTATAACGTCGCCCCCCTTTAACTTTTTTATTTTAAGTGTCCCAAAAAATTTAAAAGTGTGGTTATGTAGGTACTAAAAAATACTTTTTTTCTATGTATAAAAAAATGTAAAATTGATCAGTATACAGGGAAAAACAAAAAGTTTATTTTTTTCAATGGATTACCCTATACAGACTGTATAGAATCAAGTAAGTAAGGCTGGAGACAAGGATGACAAATTATATTCTGATCAGAGAAAAAGTTTAAACCAAGCCATTCGTAATTACGAACCATAGTTGCCAGGTTGTTTTAAATCAGAAGAGAAAGATTATAATTATTTAATAAATAGTTCAATTTTATTTGTTTGAAACTTTAAAAATAACAAAAAAATTAATAATATGTCAAAAATAATTTGATTTAGTTAATTTTCTTAATTTTAATATTAAAAAATAAGAAAAACAACCCTTTTAGGAAACAATAATAGCATATGGCAACAGCGCGGCATGCAGCCAGATACAAGGGCATGCAGTTTTTGTTTGCTGAGTAGCTCCGACGCTGTCGTAGGGAAATGTGTATAGTTTTTAAGACATACGTTTTGGCCATTAACTGGAATTTAATGGATTTTAAACAATACTTCGTATTTATTTGCGGAAATGCATTAAAACAAACAAACGAATTCGATAAAAATAAAACCTATAAATTCTCAAACAAAAATAATTCTAAAATAACGAAATCCCTACCACAGTGGGCGGGGTTTGGCAGTTGTTTTATTTAAGTGTATCTATTCGTTTTAATACACACTGAATATAAATTTATTTAAAATTTTAAAATTCTGAGCATAATTCATATAACAAACCATATACCTAAATTCAACCGTTTCTGAAATATTCGCTTTCGAAATGTCATAAATTTTTTGTGTTAGAAACCAAGAAGCCTCGGTATACCAAAATTTTTATTGAAAATAAATTACTATAGTGACATTATGTCAATATGTCTTGTTAAATAAGTAAAAATGACAAATTATTTCAACTTATTATATTAAAAATAATTTAAATATTTCAGAAACGGTTGAATTTAGGTATATGGTATTTTATATGAAATATGCTTAAAATTTTACAAGGAATCTATTTTGTAAAAATTCTATAAAAAAAATAATTCTATACCTTAAATTTAATTTGGTCGAACTTTACTTTAGATAGTTGGTATCACAGTCATTGGTTTGACAGATAATGTCAAAATCGATTCGCCATGGCGTCCTTAATTTACTTATTTACAATAAGCGTCTGTTAATGTTAAAGAAGAAAAAAAGGATTTTCTTTGCTGTCAAACAAAATTTATTGCCAGAAAAGTCTCCTAAGTACTAGAAAAATTATAAAAATATTATAACCAATATGCAAAATCAAAATTTTGGGTGGGATAACACCGAAAGCGGTGTTATAATGAAGTCATTATGAACATAAAAATAATTTTTACATTTTGTATTATTTAACAATATGGGCACTAATGACTATTAAAAACCTGTTGCTTACTTCAGCCCGTGACTAAAACGCCATAAAGCCTCAATTTGTCAATGGGCGTTTTAAAGGTGGAAGTAGAACAAATATTTTAAAAGTCTCATAAAAGATGTGTTACAGTGAAAAACACTAAATCTGGTAGTTTTTTATGGTCAGGAATAACTTTTGTAAGTCTTTCCAACATATTTTATAAGCATTTTTAGTTTCATAGTAATATTAAGATTATTAACATTATTTTTTTATAAATATTTTGTATATTACAATATTTGTAACGTTATGGATAATGTGGTATTATTACATAATATGTTATTTTTATTTTTTAGAAAAATAACCCTTATGAAATAAAAAGGTATTTAAAAAATAATGTAAAATAATCTTAAAATAAAGCAAGAAACAAACTACGTTCCATTTAATATATTTTTGGTTATGTGGATGGTGCTTAAACGAAACAGTGTAGGTGGACGCGTAAATTATTCCTTACCTATTAGATAGCGGAATTTCTATTAAAATTTTATTAAAATCCAGAGTACTTTACACTGTGATGTCCGGAGTATTTCACATGCGCTCGCTTACCGCTTAGGTTATAAACGTAGCATCTGATATTAATTTTAAACTTTGAACGTAGGTACAGTCTTTGTTAATTTACAATTTTAATTACGAGGGCAAACAAGCAGGTTTTAGGCACTTAAAAAATTTAAAATTAATATTGGGGTATTTCTACTTTAAAATAGATGTTTTATTTAGCGCTAAACTAAAAATATGTTTGGGTTGGAGAGCTCGCTTTGGCAGTAGCTGTGAACATTGAACATTAAGTTTTTTCATATGTATTGATTCTGGTGTTGATAAAACAACTTTTTGCTTATACATTTCCGAAGATCTTAGTTAATTTAAACAGTCCCCTGGCTATATAAGATAACAGGGGACTGTTTGATTCCTTAAAGGGCTACCTCGCGAGAATAAGTCAAATCATTTGTCCGTCAAAATGATTTGTTCGCATTGGATCCCGCATAAAATATCAGGGGTTACTTGACAACAGCAATAGTTAGTTTTGTGACATCAATGAGTAGTGTCAGAAACTGTAGTGAAATATTCTGCACATTAATTAATATTGAGAAGATCTGCAAATACCTCCTACAAAACAATATGTGGGTTATTACGATCTTAATTGTTTAAAAATGTATTCAAAAAGTCATTTAGGTAAACATTCAATTTTCTTAGTTTCTTGCCATATAGAAACACAAAATAAAAATCTATCTGGTTCAATATAGGAATTTGAAACAGGCATTGCACTATTGAACCAGATAGAATTCCATACCTGGAAAACCATATAGAAAAGTGATTTTTCTACTCCTACTACGGAATTTGACCGTTCTATTATTACTTTTATCTATGGAATGACATATATTCCGTAAAGTGTTACAGAATGAAATATTCTATCATCCTATGACAGAATAAACACTAGTGGCGACATCTCTGGTTTTAATATCTAACAAATTTTAGACCGATCCAACCTTACATTCTTCCAATCAAATGACTTTGGTATTTTTTACAAACGTAGAAAAAGTATAGTCTGAAACACGTTTGGAATTGCATATTCCGCTCTCGTGAAACCGTCAAACTCGCCTTCGGCTCGTGTGACAAACTCTTCACTCGAGCGGAATATGCTGTATTCCAATCTTGTTACAGAATATACTATTCTATATGGATTGCCATATAGGTTCATATTGCTCTATCTGGCCCAATATGGTTTGGGTGTGAAAAAATTATTACCATATAGATCCATATCTAACCATATAGGGGAATCTATATGGTTTAATATGCAATTTTCGTTTAAGTTTATTTACATTTTAAAATGGAATTCCATATTAAACCATATAGGGAAACCTATATGAAGAGACACATAAAACAGAAACCAGAAAAATCCATATAAAAATCTCTAAGTTTACATTTTAAAATGAAATTCCATATAAAACCATATAGATTCCAAAGTGTAAACCAGGTCGTTCCATATAGGACATATAGAACCATATAAATCCATATTAGTTTCCTTATCTGGATCAATATGGGTTCTATAGGGCATTTTTAATAGGGTACTGGTAATATTCATAACAAAAAATTGAACCTACACCTCGCCAAAGTTTTTTGTAAAACAAAACCTTAATGTTTAGCCCGGTTGGGCTAATTCTAGATTCCTTTAGGCCATATTAGTATGTGTGATATAATTGCTGTGTGCAGTCCCGGTTGCATAGTATGTACCGATTGCGGCAAAGGCCACGTCGTTTGACGGAGTGGATCACCTGATATTCTTACATCTCGCCTCTGTTGGCTTACCAACCGAGCGTATAAGGTCAGGGAGTCCTTTGTTTTGAGTGTGTTCCACTACACCAAGTTGCCCGACACTGATGAGACCCAATATAGGTCGAAACAGCTGTCTGTCGG